ATTCAATCATCTTGTGGATTCTATTATTTCATTGAGAAATGTTTCATTTTTATTGTTTCTCCTTTGAGGATAACATGTCCATTTGCTCTCGATGCTTTTCAGATTTCCTCTTTGCCTTTGATTTTCAGAAGGTTAAAGATGTGTCTTGGTGTGATTTTCTTTGTATTTATTCTTTGAATTTGTAGAATCTTGATAACGCTTAAAATGATGCTTCAATTTTATTCTCTTGCCCTTTGCTCATGGGACTTTAAACCTATGCCAGACCTTTTTCTAAATCTCAGACTTTTTAGTCTTTTCAATATTTTATCTATTTTCCTCCACCTTTAGCCTTAAGTCTAGATATTTCCTGTTATTTTATTTACCAACTTAATTACTTCATCTTCTGTGTTCTCTGTTCTGTTAAAACTATCTACAGAAATATGTTTTTCAGTTATTGAATGTTATAGTTCTTTAATTTTGGATTGAGTCTATTTATGTAGATTCTATTTCTCAGTTTAAATTCTTCATTTTGTTATGCATTTCCTGAAATAAATTTATCAAAATTTGTTAAATAGCTGTTCCTGGATGCAGAAATATCTTTCATTCCCCTGTAATATGGTTTGGATATGATTTCTCACGAAATCTCATGTTGAAATGAAATCTCCCTCGTTAGAGTTGAAGCCTGGTGGGAGGCATTTGGATTATGATGGGTGAGTGAGTTCTTGGGGGATCTGGTTGTTGTAAATGTGGCACCTTGGCCTACCCCAGTCTCTCTTGCCTCTGCTCTGCCATGGGAAATGCGTGGTGCCTCTGGGTCCTTTTCCATGATTGTAAGCTTCCTGAGGCCTCCCCAGAAGCAGATGCTGGCACTATGCTTCTGGTACAGCCTGCAAAACCATGAGCCACTTAAACCTCTTTTCTTATACATTACCCAGTTTCTGGTATTTCTTGATAGCAACGCAAGATTTGCTTAATACACTCTGCATGTTAATTTCTATTTTATAGTTCTTCTCTCAAACATTTTCAGTTATTTGGTCTTCTGGTGGGCTTGGAAATTTTTAAAATTAAATTCCAGCCATTTGGTATAAAAATACAGAGTTATTTTACTGTCATTTTAGTCCCGTTGATGTTGTATTTATTTAAAGAGGATTTACATTTTTATTTTACTTTATTTTTTGAAAGTCAATTAAGGAAGGGCCAGATTACATTAATATGTACTTCTATTGAAATTATTCATTTCACTTTTTGCGAGAGTTGGTCTTTTTAAATTTTGTCCCTTCTGCTATTGGGTTCCAATGGAAAGACTTGGATTTTTGAAGACCTTGGCTAGTATGAACTGCTTTCTTTTCTCCTCAGCCCCGTGCATTTGCCGAATCCGCTGCACAACTTCTCAGTTTCTTAGAAAGCCTCCTACCTTATTTTCGCCTCAGCTTTGTGCTTGTTGCCTAAGAGTCGTAGTGACAATTTCCTTAATAAAGTTTCGGCTCCCATTTTTATGTACCTTTTTCTTTTTGATACTTTACAGTAAGTCCTTTGCCTTCATAGATCATGATGATGTTTCAACCGGTGATACAGGAAATATTTCATTCAGTTTTTCTAGTTGTCCTCTTTAGAAACAATGTACCAATACAAGCTCATCTTCCACAGCCAAAGCAGAAGTTCTGAGACTATTTTTATTTCAGGAGAAGTATTTTTTCAAAACAGAGTCCTGTAGTAAGAACAGTAAAATAGTGAAGAGTCTAAATGAATGCCATTTAAGAGAGAAATAAATCCATTATTGATAGCTGGCCTAGAAGAGAGAAAATATTGACATGTCATAAAGTTTTCAGATATTTAGATGATTATTTTTTGCATGAAACAATTATTTTATTTAATGTATATTTATGAGATGTAATGTAAACTGATAGAAGTAAATTTTACTACCATTTAAGAAAGTCTATGCTGATAATTCAAACCCATATAAATACAACAAGCCATTCTATATAAAGTGCAATGTACTCTAGCACAGGGATTGGAGATAAAGTGCCATGTTGAATGCATTTTAAGAATATTATAAGAGGCTATGAAATGAGAAGAAAGCTAAACTCTAAATAGGCCTTGAAGAATATTTGAGGTTAGTAAACAAATTGAATAGAGTAGATTTTCCATACAGGAAGACTGTTCTGTTTAAAAGCTGTGATTAAAAAAAATACAAAGTTTTTTGAATGAAGAGGGCTAATGGGTAGCATTGTCTAGAAGGAGAGTTTATACTGGTCAGTCACAAAGCTGCTCTCTACTAGAAATAAACTCGTATCAAAGATCCTTTAATAAGGCTGTGTATGGTGGCTCTTGTCTGTAATCCCAGTACTTTGGGAGGCCAAGGTGGGAGGATTGCCTTAGCCCAGGAGTTTGACAACAAAGTAGGTAATGTGAAGAAACCCTATTTATACAAAAAATAGCCAGGTCTGGCAGCTTTTACCTGTAGTCCCAGCTACTCTGGAGGTTAAGATAGGAGGATACCTTGAGACTGGGGAGGTTAAGGCTGCAGTGAGCCGTGATTGTGCCACTGCACTCTGGCCAGGGCCACAGAGTAAGACCCTGTCTCAAAAACAAACAACCAACAAACAATCCTCAAAGCAAAGATCCTTTAATAATTTCTTAGAATATAGAAACCAAGGGAAAACTTTCCCCTTGGCCCTTTGAAGATTCTCTGAAAATACTATTGCAAAAGGCAGATTAATAAGAGAAAAGGCACATAAATTTATTTCATGTATATACATGAAAGCCTTTGGAATGAAGACCCAAAGATACAGGGAAAATTGCCCACTTTCATAATTATATTCAGCAAAGCATGGACTGCTGTGTAGAAATATGACTGCATAAAAAGTGTATGATTTAATGTTAATAGACTGGGTCTGTTTAGATTCTTCTCAGCCTCTCTGAGCATGCATTACTTTCTCTCAGATATGGGGCAGGACCCTCTCCGGACTCAGGGTTTTATGACCTGCAGTCAAACAGGTAGGTCAGATAATTTTTTATAGCTAGTTTTTACACAGAAAGACAGGAGAAAATTAGAGTAATATTTTTAGGTTTTATGCTGGCTTTTGGGAAAAGAGGTGCTGGCTTCTGTGACACTCTCTGGGGAAGAGGGATTCTAGTTTTTAGGGCTAGCCCTGGGAGACAATGGGACTGAGAGATGGGAGGGCAGGAGAAGATCAGAGAAAACTTTTACTTCTGAGGCTACTTTGGAGGTCTTCATTTTGGGGTATTGTTTTTGAATCCTAATAGTGCTTATGCTTGTGGATGTTTTTGTACTTTTCTACCAGATGGTAAGGTCTTATAATAGAAAGGATAATGTTTTCTAACTCTCTGTCCTTCTCTTCAGGTAATAGAGATTCACAGAAAGTTTTAGGAAGGAAAGAGATAGGTTATAAATCAGTATTTTGAAGATATTTTATTGAGGATGACCAGAGGTAGAATAGAAATCCATGCAGACTGAAAGTGGCAAATCTCATTAGGAAGCTTTCTGTAGCACAGTGGGAAAAAAGATAAAGGCACAAAAGAGCATGGAGGAAGAACTGACACAACTCAGTAGAAATACTGCAGAAAACTTTAAAAAGAGAGACATGATTCCCAGTCTATCAACTGGTAGAATATTGATTTTATTTGTAGAAACTGGCAAGGAACATTCACTCACTATGTGACATTTTGTATCACAGTGTTTTGAGTTTTTCACCTTTATATCATTTATTATGACTTACAATCATGTTTTCACTTGCATCTAATATCTATCCCCACAGGATAATTTCAGAGACATCTGCATCTTTCACTGAAGCACCTGTGTTTCCATAGTGAAACTGCCTTTGCAAAAATTATAATAGTGAGAAAATTTTGACAGTGAAAGAGATATGAGCAAACCAACTCCATCTTGCCTTCAATCTCCAAACTACCCATGCTCTTTCCTGGGCATGAGTCAAGTTAACTCTACAAGGAATTTACTTTATAGTTCAACTATGAAACAAACAAGATAACTGCCTTTCCTGAAAAAAACTCTTTCCTGACATGGAAAGAGTTTGTAAAACTAACAAATTAGCAGAGCACCTTGGTAAAAGTAACAAATTAGCAACCAGATTAAAATTATGGTTTTGGAGTCACATAACCAGATGCCTCAAGATTCCCAACCTCTTCAATTACTCCTGTGGGTAATATGACTATTGCAAAACTTAAAATTGATGTTTGGGATATTTTTTAAATCCTGTATCCTGATAATCTGACTCAACTAGTTCTGCAATCCCACCCAGGAACAGCAAGAAGCAAGACAGCAAGAAGACCTGTTTCAACCCTCTAAGATTTCATCCCTGACCCGATCAGTCAGCATACTCCGTTCCCTAGCTCGCTGTCCACCAGCTAGTTATCTTTAAAAAACTCTAGCTTCTGAATTTTCAGGGAGGGTTATTTGAGTAGGAATAACTCTGGTCTCCTGTTTAGCCAGCTCTATGTGTAATAGACACTCTGTATTGCCATACCCATGTATTGATCAGTTTACTCTATCTGAGCAGCAGACGAGATGAACCTGTTGGGTGGTTACAATAGCATTGAAGTTATTGACACATCTTTGCATGATTTTTTACCTGATGGCATTTTGTTCATTATTTTGTTAAATGTTGATATCTCCTGCAACTAGACTATAAATTTGTAAATGCTTAGAACTGATTGTCTAAATCCTACCTTATTTTAGCTTTGATGTATCCTGTTCAGCTGGTATTGGACTGAAATAAACCTTAGAATGGATAGAAAAAAATAAATAATGTATTATCATTCTCAGACAAAAATATAGCTATTCCTGAAGGTTCTTAACTTTTAACTTAAAACCAAAGTGACAAACACTTAGAAATGTTAGCTTTAGTAAATTTGCCAAGAGTGCTCTGAGTTCCTAACTATAGTTAATATTCACTCCCATTATCCAATTTGTTTTCTGCTGCAGCTAACCTAAATGTAATCTCCTGAATGTCTGCAATTTGGGTACCTTTTCCATTAAATTATAAAGGTTAAATAACTAGATTTTTAAGACATAATAAAAGCCCATCTGAAACTGATTTAAACAATGCAGAAATGCATTATCTTCTGAGGAAATAGGGAGAGGTCAGGTAGGGTCCCCTTCTAGCACATCAGGGGTTAATCATCGTCTGTGGGATGTGTATAGGAAAACCAAACTATTTTATTCTTTATATGCACAACATTTCTGACACCAAAACTGTGGGAGTTTTACCCACACCAGACAATTTTCTAATTCTCTTTGAACAATAACCAGCATTACACAATTCAATTAAATTCTGATGCTATTTACCAACAGCTATTTTAGACCTCAAAGGTTAAGTGCCCAGCTGCACAATACTAACACCCCCACCTCCCCACTTCAGACAACAGTCACAAGTCCAGGCTTTCGCCTGTATTTCTAACCAACTAGCTACAAACTGGGGGTTTATACAATCCTCACCTTGGGTTTGACCATTTGTAAGAACTGCTCATTGAACTCAGGAAAACCATTTAATTGCTGTATTACCAGTTCATTATAAAGGATGCAACTCATAAACAGTCAAACAAAAGCGCTGCATAGAGCAAGGGATGGGGAAGAGGCTGAGAGCTTCCCTTTGGGTGCACCCCATGATCAGCACCTCTGTGCATTGACCAACCTGGAGGCTCTCAGAATCCTGTCTTTTTGTGTTATTGTAGAGGCTGTATTACATGGACATGACTGATTGTATTATTGCTCATTGGTGATTAAACTGTAGCTCCTCTCCCTTCCTCAGAGGTTAGAGAGTCTGAAGGAAAATTCTAACCCTCTAATCACTTGGTTGGTTCCCTTGGCAATGAATAGCCCTCATCCTGTGTTTATCTAGGGCTTTCCAAAACTCATGTCACTTGCATAAACTGAGGTAAACTTCTTAGGAATAACGAAAGACACTTCTCTTACATTTATCACCCCCATAATTTAGGAAATTCTGAGGAGTTTAGGAGCTTTGTCCAGGAAGGAGTAAAACAATCAAATATATATTGCTTATTATAAATAACGGTATCACAAGATACTGTGATACTTCAGTTGCTTTCGGCAATTGTCGTCATCACATCTGTATAGAATAATACCCAAAGTACAAAGAAGACTTGTCTCTTTAACTCTATTTTAGGAGCAAGGGATTCTTCTTAGCACTCTCCTGTTAGATTTGTCCTAATGTTTCATAGGTCAGAATTACATACTCAACGCTAAACAATTACTGCTGTAATATGCCACCCAAAGTAGGGCTACGAGAAACCCAAATATGCCACCCCAAAATATGTCACTTTGGCATAAAGGTCATTTGGAGCTAATTATTTTGAGAAACTGTAGACACAGGGTAAACTCTAAGAGAGTAGAAGTTACCCCCTTGTAAGGAAAATATACACCCATTAAAAAATATTTGTAAGGGTGTATCAGATCTCTGTACCAGGAGGAAAAGGATGGCTGTAAATCACTGGAGACTTCTATCAATGAAGCAGGCGCCAAACCTTGCTTAACAAACCTTGCTCTTGTTTAGTTCTCCTGATCACTTTCCCACGAGTGTGCTTCCTCACACCTTTCTTTCTGTTTCAGTTGAAGATTGCATTTCAGCCTGAACTATTTCTTTGAAATGTACTCATTTCTCTGAGTATCTCTCATGTCTATAGGAGGCATACATCTGATAAAGCTTCTGTTCGTTTTTCTCTTGTTACTTTATGTATTGCTACAGGGGTCAGTTCTACCGAGGAACTGTGAAAGGCAGAGGGAAAATTAGTTTTTCCTCTGCTGCACTGCAAATTAGAGTGGAATCTCTGTGACTGTCCTAGGCTTATCGTGATCTATTGTCCGTTATTCTCAATGGAATCCTTTCCTCCTTAATCATGTGGAAGAAAAAGCAAATAACAGTAAGATCTAGACACTTTTAAAAGAAGGGAAAACATAGATTTGTGGGAGGTCTCTAACAGGGTAAACTAGAAGTTCTCTGAAGATCTTGCTTAAAAGGAAGAATTTTATTTTGGGAATAAGTCTTATCTAATTTCGTGCCAAGAAAATGAGGTTTATTTTTATGTATATTATGTGCAGTAAGATTTTATATGATAAAACTAAGAAACAAGAAAAATAATCAAAATTCCCTTCTGAATAACATTCATTCCAAATGCCACTTACACATATGATAAACTCAGAACCGAGAATGCTCGGTGAGAGGCGGAGGAGCGGTAGCTGCCCGAGCTGCACACAGCTCAGCGCTCCTTCCCGCCCCCTCACACACCGACCTCAGCCCACTCACCGGCAGTAGAAGATGGTGAAAGAAACCACTTACTACGATGTTTTGGGAGTCAAACCCAATGCTACTCAGGAAGAACTGAAAAAGGCTTATCGGAAACTGGCCTTGAAGTACCATCCTGATAAGAATCCAAATGAAGGAGAGAAGTTTAAACAGATTTCTCAAGCGTACGAAGTTCTCTCTGACGCAAAGAAAAGGGAATTATATGAGAAAGGAGGAGAGCAGGCAAAGAGGGCAGAGCAGGTGGCGGTTTTGGCTCCCCCATGGACATCTTTGGTATGTTTTTTGGAGGAGGAGGAAGGATGCAGAGAGATAGGAGAGGTAAGAATGTTGTACAGCCGCTCTCGGTAACCCTAGAAGACTTATATAATGGTGCCACAAGAAAACTGGCTCTGCAAAAGACTGTGATTTGTGACAAATGCGAAGGTAGAGAAGGTAAGAGAGGAGCAGTAGAGCGCTGTCCCAATTGCCGAGGTACTGAAGGCAAATAAGAATTCATCAGATAGGACCTGGAATGGTTCGGCAAAGTCAGTCTGTGTGCATGGAGTGCCAGGGCCATGGGGAGCGGATCAGTCCTAAAGATAGATGTAAAAGCTGCAATGGAAGGAAGATAGTTCAAGAGAAGAAGATTCTAGAAGTTCATATTGACAAAGCCTGAAAGATGGCCAGAAGGTAACATTCCATGGTGAAGGAGACCAAGAACCAGGACTGGAGCCAGGAGATACAATCATTGTGTTAGATCAGAAGGATCATGCTGTTTTTACTCAATGAGGAGAAGACCTTTTCAAGTGTATGGACATACAGCTGGTTGAAGCACCGTGTGGCTTCCAAAAGCCAATATGCAATCTTGACAACTGAACCATAGTCATCACCTCTCATCCAGGTCTGATTGTCAAGCATGGAGATATCAAGTGCGTAGTAAATGAAGGCATGCCAGTTTATCACAGACCATATGAAAAGGGTCTCCTAATCATCGAAATTAAGGTCAACTTTCCTGAGAATGGCTTTCTCTCTCCTGATAAACTGTCTTTGCTAGAAAAACTCCTACCGGAGAGGAAGGAAATGGAAGAGACTGATGAGATGGATCAAGTAGAACTGGTGGACTTTGATCCAAATCAGGAAAGACAGCGCCATTGCAATGGAGAAGCATATGAAGATGATAAACATCATCCCAGAGGTGGCGTTCAGTGTCAGACCTCTTAATGGGCCAGTGAATAACACTCACTGCTGGCATTTTATGTCCAGTAGTGAATGAGTAAGGACTGTAATCATAATATGCTCACTACTTGCTCTTGTTTTTGTTTTAATCAACTGTAGTAGTGTTTTTAAAAGTTAAATGAAGAATAAAGGCAAATATAAAAGCTCTGACTTTGCCCTGTATGTATGATGACTTCAGCATGCAAAATGAAGTTTAATACCTGTAAAAACTACTTTACACGAAAGTTCCCCTAGCACTTCTAGGCCAAACCTTGCAATTGCCTTCAGCTATGTACGTGGACAAGCTTCGACTGAAATGCTAGGTATATGTATTGGCTTCAGTGTATGACCCTTCATTGTTAAGCTGTGAAAGTAAAACTCACCGGCAATAAGAAAAAAAAGTTGTAGAGAAGCGTTGGTCTGTATAGTTATTGTATTAAGTGGGATTCATTGTAATGCCTCTGCATTTATTCTATTGCCTCAACTGCTACTTGAAGATGGCGTAATATATAATTTATCATGTGGCATAAGTGATAAAAATGATACCTTTCTGTAGGAGGGGTTTTCATAATATGCTGCTGCTTGAAGGCTTGCACTTCCAAAATTGTTTCCTTCTGCTGTGCCATCCATATATATATATATCTCCATATATATCTTGACCAGTCCTGGTTATTTGCCCCACTCCTTGTCTATGGACCATGATAAGCCCAAGTAGTGACTTCAGAGCTGTGTAACATAGAAATGAAAGTGAAAAGACCTTTACATGGAGAAGTAATTTGCATGAATAATATAGGAAGGTGTTCTTTAGGTATGTTACAGGATTACTTTAAACCATTTGATTTACGTTCCAAAGTAACTAATGTTGGTAGTATAGCAAATTATGATGAATAACTTTAATTGTATGTTTAAAAGTCTCATATGTTCACATGCTGAAATCTGAGTATCAGAATTTAAGCAATACTTGAAATGTATTGTCTCCTTAATATACTAATTACAAAGAAAAAAAAAAAAAAAAAAAAAAAACAAAACTCAGAACCATGTTAGAGTACCACGTGGAATTCTGGAGTATTCTCTGAAAGATTGAATTTCATACCCATGAATCATAAAGACATCTGCTGACAATTGTAAGCAAGTTGCTGAAGGTTTGAGGGATTCCAGTTTATTAATGACTAAAGGGTTGTTCAAGTTTGTTTATCGATAGTATCGTAGGGAAGTTTAAATTTTTCTGCTGAAGGTTTGATAAGTTGGGTTATAACATAAACTGATAATAGACAGATTAAAAGGAACATAAGGTAAACAAATTTGTCAACATGCACATGTATGTCTGGGAGTCATACAAAATATAAAACTCAACAAAAGGGGGGCAGATTGTTGACACATTCACACTATCTTAAAGTTATAGTAATGCATAGGGTTTTGGAGCATATCAAAACAGTTTATGGGGACAAGACAGTCAGAAATAAAAATCAAAACCTAAGCCTCTCCAGCCAACTGAATGGACCCCTTACTTTTTCAAGGGGATCCCAGAAAAACTTTAAAAAGTGAGTCCCTGGCCATGATAAGATGAGAGGTTTGACATGCCTCAATATGCCCCTTATTAACTTTTAACCAGATTTATTTTGTAAAAAGTAAGCAGAAGAAACCAGCTCTGGAAACAAGTAACAGGTGACTCATTCCTTTATTGCCTTGAGCTGATCATCTCAGGCCATGCCTGGACTCCTCCTCTGTTTTGTTGTCCAGACAAAGCAGCTGACCAACATTTCTTCCTGATAACAGACCAGCAACCTAGGAGTGGTCCTGGATAGGCTATAGAGGATGCCCAGTAAGGGTTTTCATGTCCTTTGTTCCACCTTTTGATATTAGAGGTCCAAAAACTCCACCCTTGAATCATGCTAACACCACCATTTTTTGAACATGCCACCCATGAAGGATCATGAAGCTCCACTGTGCATGCACATGTTTCTCCTTTAGTAAATATTCATGAGTCCTATGGCTTATTAAATACATATCTTCTGCCACTCACCCTGCTGAGCATACATTTCTGTTTCCTCTTTTTATTATTATACTTTAAGTTCTGGGGTACATGTGCAGAACCTGCAGGCTTGCTACGTAGGTATGGAAGGTAGCTAAAATGGTAAGTGTCCAACTATTGAGTCAGCAGTCACTAGAAATTTCAAGGGGTAACACATTCACTATAAATTCCAAGGGATAACATGGTGAACATGGAATTTATAGATATATATATATATATAAATATCTAGAATTTATATAGATATATATATAATTTATCTGTTATAATTTAGCTGTTCACCAAGTCTGAACAGCTGGATGAGAAAGAGGATGAATTGTATAAAGCCTGAAAATTGTTTTTGGGATGATTAGCTAATTGTCCCAACATCTGAACTTCTAGTAAGAGAAGAAGCATCAGTGTAGGCACAAAGAGCTTGATTAGGTTGATAGAGTAGAATCAGACACGGCAATTTTGTGGCAGCTGATGGTTCGTCATCATTAATGAGAAAAACTTGTTTGTCACTGTATGAGAAAGGGTGTGGCCATTCTTTCTTTGGAAATCCCTGACCACCATCAGCCCAGTCACATCCACGGAGGTCCTGTTGGGGCTCAAAATATGATACCTGAAAGGATGACACTTGGGCAATATTTGAACTGAAGGATATTGGAAGGGCATCGGAAGCAAAGTATCCTTCAAAACTCCTCTTGCTCTTTTTTCTTTTGTATTCCATCTTCCTTTAAGGCAAACCATATAAACAAGAATTCCTCTATCCCAAGGCAGGTCTTAATCCTAGAAATATGACTGTAAGCTTCCCCAGCCTTTCTGTGTAGGACTTGGCCATAAAGAAATTTTCTGACCTTCCTTGTCTAGTGGTAGGATATAAGATCCTCATTCCAGAAGACCTAATGCTCTATATTTAGGAAGAAGGGATGCCACAGAGACAGACCAAGAAGAAAAAACACAGACAGGTCCTGCTGTGTTTTCCCACTCACTTTCTTACCATTAGATAATGCTTTTTTATCCAATTACATTTTTACATGGCTGCCCATTTTTCATCAAATTTAGGCATAAAAATAGACAGTTTTTCCTGAGTGTTTGGGTCTTCATTTCTAACGACTCCCATGTAACGTAAAACTTTTATTAAATAAATATCTTTTGGTTTTTTCCTTCTTAACCCATCTTCTGTTATTGGAGCCTCAGCCATAAGCTTTATGAGTGAAGAAAAGTATTTTATCACTTCTACCCCTACAGACCAAACAGAAGTCAGTATGGCAAGGAGGAGAGAAACTTGCAAGTTACATTTGCCAAGAAAATAGAGGAATTCTGAAGCAAGGCACAAAATATGTGCTTGTAAATTTAAAAATAAATATTTTATTTCAAGCTAGCATCCAAAATCTGTTGAAATAAAATTTATCAGAAAGGTATTTAAACCTTTATTTATTGAGTCTATAATGTATAGCATTGAATTAAGAAACCTGGAACACTTTCTCTAATATGTCTTTGACTAAATAGTAGCTATGAATCATGGAGAACTTATTGACAATCACTAATCTATGTGATAGACATATATCATTTAATTCAAGTTTTAAACAATCATAAGACGTAGACGTAGATAATTTAATCATCTCCATTTTACATATATAACAACTGAGGTTCAGATGGGTTAAGAACTTTGTCTAAGATCACCAAGAGTTGTAGCTAGAATTCTTATCCATGTCTAACTCCAGAGCTGACACATGTAACTAGTTAGCTATACTGCTGAAGTTTAAGGAAATAATAATCTTAAAATCGAGTTAGATTTGTTTCCCTCAAACACATGAACTATTTTCTCTTTCAATTTCCATGCAAATTCTCTAATAAGCTCCTAAATATCTACATTTACCCGAAATTCAGATTCAAATGTAATGCAGTGGTCATGCTACTTGACAGCAGTCTTACCAATTAAGCAGCAGTCCTAATTGGAAGAATTTTGTACTCTGCATACACATTTGCTGTGTTCTCAGTGAGCTTGCAGCTGCTGGCATAGACATCATTAGAATCTAGGAAAACAACTATTTCCAACTGAACATCAACATAATGCAAAACATGATAAGTCAGGAAGTGAATAAATTTGAATAAAAGTTAGTAAATGAGAAAGAACACGGTAATAAGACAAATGGAATCTTTTCTGAGGTCCAATGTCAAAGTTGCTCATGAAGACGAGCAAGTTAGATATTTGACAGAAGTGAATAGTGAGAAATTTTGTTTTGCATTTTATAGAACTGAAATTATAAATATGATGCCTATTTTACTTCGGTCTCATTTTATTTGTGTGTATATTTTAGTACTTAGATGTTAGAATATTCTCTTTGGCTTTTTCTAACTCCTCTCAGATAGTGTATCACTTGATGGACATTGTACATGAACTTTTATTTTTCTCAAAGCAACACTATCATAGTTCCCTGGATGACAGGTTGTTGATTTTATAACCTGAGATGAGTAGAGAAGAAAATATATATTGAAAAAAATTTTCTTATATTTAGTGTCCTTTTAAAACTTACGTGTTTCCCTTCACTCTATTTCTTGATTTTTCCTGTGGAAACTATGCAGACACTAAATGCTATTTAATAGAGTTTTTATTTATAACTAACATATATTTATAATACATTCTTTTTGCTGATATTTATTTCAGGAGAGAAAACAAGCTGCATCCCTCTCTTTACCCCTATTCTGCTTCCTGTGTCCCTTTTTACAGTGATTAATCTAAGAAAATGCTGTCATGTTTCCTGTGATTGGTGGTGAAGATGCACTCCCTGCTGCTTCATTTATTGTAGATTGTAAATATCCCCATTCATTTTTTTCACTTAATTCTCTCTAAACACTTATTCCCAGCCCACACCATAGAGATCTGTTTTGATCTATACCTCTGTTTCCTCCTGGCTTTCTTCCAACTTCAACACAGCATTATTTTTCTAATTACTTTGATTTCTGTCTCTTCTGTTGTTAGTCAAAGTCTTGAAGAGCAGTGGGAATTCACTGCCTCCACTTCCTCAGCTCTGGTTCCCATCACCTGAAGTCTGATTTCTCTACTGAACCTTGCAAGTGAAGCTGCTCTTGTAAAGCTCAACAATGGACTCCATCTAATAAAAACATTTCAATAGTTATAATTGCACAGTCCCTGACACATTAGACTCTATGGAACACTATTTATTGACATTTTTCACTCGCTAGCCATCAATATTCCTCTGCCCTACTGTTTGTTCTCCTATACCACTGACCATGTGTTCTCTGTCTTGGCAGGATTCTCCACCTCTTTCCACTCAGCAATTATGTTGCTCCTGTGTTTCTGTCCTCAATATCTGTTTCCTCTCCACATATTCCCCTTGCACAGTCTAATTCATTCTCATGCTTGAAAAAATATAATGATGTTACAAACTCACAGTATCATCATCCCGTCAGCCACGCCACAGAAATTAAACTCTTCTTAGGTAAATTAGTTATACACGGCATCAGGAAATTTCATATTTTTGACTGCAGCCCTCTGAGAAAGGGTTGATTATTCTTGGCATTTAAAGGTTTCCGTGAAGCATAACCTACCCCTTCACTGATCTCTACACAGTCATGTTCGTGCCAACCTTCAAATCATTCTTTGCCTGAGATGTGGTGAAGAATTTTTCAAAGCTTATCAAACTTTAAGTCAGCTCACATGTCCGTCTGTCATAAAGCCCTCTCTAGCTCTTTCTACTAATACTGAGTACTTGCTCCCAACTCTGAATTCTTATAAGCATTTTCCTTCAGCCCAAATTCTAGAACATCTATTTTTGGTGCCCTACTATTTCTTTCTTTTTTGAGGGGAGAGTAGAATTTTCATAAAATTAGAAACCTGTAGAAGCTTGTGATGG